GAGACATCAACATGGTCTGAACCCAGGTCCACTCTCCACCAACTGGGGTTATTATTCTGAGTATGTGAACAGCTCCCTTTTAAAAAGTTAGTGTCAGGATTTCCATCCACTGCGTTTCCAGATACACCATAAACATTATCAACAGTATTGTTGAATGTTGAAGACTGAGCTGTAGCCTTCCTCAGGGCAAGGTTCTCTGTGAACAAATATTGAAGAAAATGTTACCACATGGGCCAGGAAAAACTTAACATTGTAACAGAGTGATTCCACTCAAGAGATTGTATAACAAAGAAAAATAGTTTTGTAGTTAATTTCCAAAATCCTTAGCTTTCCTTCCACACATTTTTTGTTATGTGTAGTTGTACTGTACCTACACTTCTCTGAACCAAATAGTGTCATGTAGGAGATATTTGTGCCAATTAGTTTCATGTTATAGTTCAATCCTGCAATAGCTTATGATTTACCCATTTCAGATTAAAGCTATTTTTATCATTTCCTCACTTCTGTTATAAAATGACTACTTTTTGCCTAGTTATTCAGCTGATATAACAATTGCAACATACTACAATTTGTCAAGCCTCTGTTTGTCTATATTTCACTTAACATTGACAAAACCTTCCACAAAGATAATCTCAAAGAAAATTAATTTTAAACTGTGATTGTTAAGCAAGCAAATCCTCTCTAAAACTATCAAAGAACACCAGAATATAAAATCTGCATATATAAATGGGTTATTGACCAAGTGTGAGGTCATGATGGCTGTATACTGGCCAAGTTCCTTTCTTCATAATTTTATCAACCGAGATAAAGTCAAAGTCTACAAAAATTGAAACAAAAACCAATTGAAGTTAATATCCAGCCATCTTAACTGAACGAGCCTGGTCGATAATAAAGGATTTATTATATAACTAAACATTATATTTGCTTTAATAAGAATCAAGAATGACTTGTTTATTTTGAGAGCCAGGAAAAAGGCTAACTGTGTTCATAGTACAATAAACCCAAATAGGTTGCTTTTTTTTTTGGTTTTGACTATCTTCTGCTGCTTTTTGCAACTTTATCACTGACATTATGCAAAAGTTACTAACTTTATAAGTCCACTTCTTCTTGCACAGGATCAAAGAGGGCAATCCTGAGTGGGCAAGATTGGCTCATCTTGCCCACTCAGATTGCCAATCAGAACACAGGATTCACCTCATATTGCCCACATGCATTGCCAGCAATATGATAAATGTATACATTTGATCTCCTTTGGTTATGGAATATTATCATGCCTGCACATATACCTGGCATTTGTTTCACTCCAAACACCTCTGTTCTCATACACACCCTACCCTGGTGTGTTTGTGGCAGGAAACGCACATATCTTGTCAGCAGTTCATAAACAACATGCTTCACCACTGAGTTTCTGTCATCATTCCCCATGAAGAACTAAGATTTTCAAAAGTTATAACATTAAATAATATTACAGATACATAATGAAAATTACTGTAGGCTTCAAGTAAATTGGTGACTTAAGGTTAAGAAAAATGAGGTTATGTTAGAACAAAAAATACTGATTTGTAAGCACAATGTCCATGTATTTGTTATTACATGAAATACATGTAAAACAAGTTGTATTTTTGTACTCAAATTCTTATTACTCAGAAAAACATTGCACCTTAACTTGTCCAGCTTCCTTGTAGTCTGTCCAAGTTGACCCATTTATGGATAATTGTAGAGTGTAGGTCTTCACCCACTGATCTGCTAGAGAATTTCCTTGAGTAGAGACAGCACAGATGATATGAAGAGTCTGTAGATCAATCTGTAGATATGGGTTAGTGTCACTCGTTCCTGCACACCATGATGATCCTGATGTGTAATTCAGTCTACCATTCTTGGCTGGTGTGTTGGCATTTTGTACTGAAGAAGCGGTTATGTTACCATCTGAAATTCTCTCATTTTCCAAACCAAGATCCAAATCGATACATACCCCTATAAAAAAGTTAAAAGCAGAAAGTTATAAAATTTGACATAAAACCATATTAACTCAAGGTAAATGAACAACTATTAATATCTAGAACGACATTTCTACTATCGATACCATTTCTTCAGGATATATTCAGCCCGAAAAACTACCTTATTATTTACCTGGATACCTAGGCGTTTTATGATCGTTTAAGTTATGAAACAGATGTAGTAAGTCGGTTCAAAATGAGAATACCGTCCTCCATGTTGAATATGGCATGCTTAGTAACCATGCCATCATCTTGGATTTTGGCGGGAAAATAACTCAGCTTGCAAAGCTAGTCACGTGATTAAGAAAAGGGGTTGTCACATGGTTTAAAGAGTTATGCCAGGAAATAATCAAAGGCTAACAAAGATAAAAGGCCGTAGTGCAAATGCAGGTTGAAGCCGATTAATCTCGAATTCCGTAGGCTAAATCCTGTAGTGATTTGTTCATTGTGAACCGTGGAGGGAGTGTAAATGATCCCAGTTTCTGGTGGCGGCATTGCGCACCCTTCACATGTTGTCTAACAACCTCACCCCCAGGATCCCGGGGTTGTAGGATTGGGTGTAAACACGGACTATTTTCTAACCAAAGCTATGAGGGTTACCTCAATTACCTGGGGTCCCCCACTTTCTGGTAAACAGGCCCTACAGAATTGTTCTAGCTGGTCGTTGGTGAAACCCCAAAGAGTAGTTTAACATGATAAATTTATCAATGACATCATCGATTGGACTAACGATTGGTGAAGTGTGCCCAAATATTTACTGAAACTAGTTAACTCCCAGAACATTTTCAATTGGACACATTTCAAAATTTCACTTTAGAACGCAAATTTTGGTTATAGTCACTATGCTTTAAGAACATCTTTCTTCATATTTTTTGTGGCCCTCCTTGCAACACGTCACTTTAATCTGAAACGCTTTTTCACTTGGTCTGTTGCTGAAGTTTGTTTCAGAGCTACACGTCGATTCGGGATTTTCATGAAAGGTCTTTGCAAATCTCAGTTTCTCGGCGTGGAAGCAAATTCTATGAGTTAACTGGAATGAAATGTCTATTAACACTTTATGATTGTTTATTTTATGGTTATTCCGTGTCGTGTCTCATGAATATACATCGAATACTTGAACACCTACGTCTGAGGCGAGCTGAGTCATTTTTCATTCAATTCAAATTGTATTTTCTATTTGATTATGGTATAATGTTCGAATAAAATGATGAACATGTCTTCATTCCAACGCTTGGTCAGACAGTTGTCTACTTTGGCCGTGTTTGCCTGCTCATTTGTTAAAACAATAGTCAATAATAATATGCCAAGTCACGACAAACCTATTAACATAATTGAACTTTCAGTTTACTTTTTCCTTGAAGTTCTCTGCCCTTTTGATTTGGCTCGCGCTGTTTTACTGAATAATCGTCATAGTATCTTTGTCCCACTGCCTTCAGCAGCAACTGAATGGCAGTAAATGTATCGAACTAGTTTGTACACCAAAATGGAAACTTGATGGAGTATTTTGAAATCAGTGCCAAATTTGCATAATGACACAACTTTGTATTCAAGAAATTAGACAACTCGGAAATTAAAGCAAAGGCTCGATGTGGTGTAGAAACTGTTTGAAGTAAAAGTAAAGGAAAGCAATCGAAATCATTCAAATTCTAAGCTACTCCTCATATAATCATAGCTTTCAAAGGTACCTCTCCTCGAGCGATGACCGTGTCTTTAGGAGACCGTCATATTTTTATCGATCACGAAGCGAGCTTGTTCTGTTCCGACAGAAGTTTCGACAAAAGTTCCGATCTCTTTCGAGCTACCGCTTCACAAATATCGTGAAACCAAGTAGACAAGATTATGCTCTTACGAAACTAAGAAAAGGCGAGCGACGAAGTCAGCCGATGAGCCGTTGTTACCTCTGAACGGGAAGTAACTCATACTATGCGAGATACGTTTGAAAATCACCACTAGAATTCTCCCAAACTCACTCTATCAAAATAAAATAACTTGTCAGATGTTTAATGCTTTAAAGAAGATAATAGAATTAACTTGACATTTTTCGGTCGGACTCGACAGTTTGTCAACTGAACACAATGAAATGGAATTCAATTATCTCATATGAATGGAGTCACTGCCGAAAAAAACAATCGGTGAATTCGAGCAGATCTTAACTCGTATGCTCAGATTACAAATGATAGAGAACTCACCAGAACCTAGAGGAATAAGAAAAGCTAAGTAAGCCACTCGGAAGTACAGCTTGGAATCAAACTCCAACATTTCGCCGCTGTTGTTATTTCATGACTCAGTAGCCTTTTGCATCTTAAAAAGTTCACCATCTCCGTTGAAGCGCATCTGCCAAGTTACAATTAAACTCATTATCATATATATTCCCGGAGTTTCAACAGCTAACCGAAAGATCACGCGTTGACAAAACGGGTTTAGACTCCTCTAGTTTAAAGGGATGATCTACAGGCAAAAGACAACGGAAGCAATCATGAAATCTAAAAATAATTTCTGAATATATAAAAAAAAAAAAATGACTTGAAAACTTTCTACAACAATCTCTGGTGTTCTTCCCACAACTGTTGCACTATTACAGGAAGTCTAAATTATCTCTTTGTTTTTCATTGTTTCTTGGTGCGAACGTCACTGGTTATAAAATAAACTTGTCAATCATGATTTGTGTGCTGAAACATTTAAAGCTAATTTTATTAAAATAATATCTTTTGTAAGAATCTGGAAAAGGCAAACTTATGCTCA